AAAATCTTATTAACATACTTAAAAACGCTTTAAGATCGAAACATAAAACCAATAGTTACTTATATAACAGAAACGGAATAGAGATAGCAATATTGATCATAAAAAATCAAGTCAAAAGGGAGAAATAGAAAGATAAAGTGTCACCTTCCTGTGTAACATTTTCGTCGGGAAAAGTTAAAAAGATCTGATCTTCTTTGGAGTCTTTCCAATCACCTCGCATTAGCACCTATAACTATTACACTTTGATATGATATGAACAGATTTTACATAGGAAACAAAACTAGTAGAATCTAGTAGGTGCAAAACACAAAACATAAGACTCACCTCGAAATACTTGCATTGTTGTAGATAGAGTTTATGTAGGTGCCAAACATGGCCGACCGCGTAGACAGTTACGTCAGATCCTTCACCCTGACAATTGTAACATTATGCTTGATGGATAAAACAGCATTCATAAAGAACAATCGCCCATTGTTCAAACTTCGGCAATGTTTCTAGTCTCGTTCTTAATTCGGTGAAGAATTTCTTAAAGCCGCCAGCCCACAGAAGGTATAGCAAAGCGAAGCGGATCCGTATACGAAAACCAATCAAATAACAAGTCCAATGATAGATGAAGTGAAATCTTTTCTTAAATTTCTGACCATGATACTTAAATCTTCTTTCTTTTTTGTTAGGGCACTCGTGTGTATTAAAATAAATAAATTTCTAGCTTCTCAGATGTACATTGTGGTACGTCTGATGTTTCAATATCACAATTATAACAAAGTCCAAAAATGCGTTTAAGAGAAATCAATAGCATGCAGTTCTTTAAATGTCAACAGTCGAATGTACGCATAAGACTTCAAACTGTCAGTGCCGCGAAACAGATATACTTTGAGTGTGAAAGCACCTGCGGTACGACAGAGAATAATAAGCAATAGCAGAAACCATGCATAAAAAATCTTCAAAAGGGGTAAAGGCTATCATAGTCGAACATTTTTGCAACATTTAAAAAAGGAAAAATAAGAAAATTTCCCCACCTGCAGAAATAGTCGTTCATAGACGTATTTAGCAGTGTCCAACTTTGTGATCTTTTTCGGAGGCGATTCATTTACTTCACCGTTCTTTCTTTTTCTTGATTCTGCACCATCTGCCGTTGATTCCTCCTCATAACCGGCCAACCGGTCAAGGGAATTACCCATTCTGAAAGT